CTGCCGGGCATTTAGGAAAACGAAGACCGTGCCCGGCTGCCGGGCATATAGCCACAGCGTTTATCGAAACGTTTCAAGTGCCTGTGGCTCTGACGAACGTATTCGAAATCAAAAGACTAAGTAACGCCAGGGTAGAATATGAATTTAAATAAAAATGCCTAAATAGGGTCATTATAATTACACAGTGAGTGTAGATAATTACCTGACTCAATGTTAGATGCAGTGATATGTTAAATAATCGAGGAAGGCAGAAATAACAAGCTGACAACAACAACAATCTTGAAATCGAAATTCCCACGATGCGCGTACCGCCATCTAGTGGACACAATGACACCTAATCTTGTTACATCATAAACATTTCCTCGTGCAGTAAATTAAGTTTGTTGAGTTACAAGGAAGCCTGACTAAAAGAAAATATTTGGATATTTTTGGCACAGGATCTCAAAATCAATGGTAAGTCTATGTAACATTCAACAGTCTCGAGTTTGCAAAAGTTAAAATTCTGTATACAAACAATGTCGCCGACGCCATTGCACGCGTAGCAAAAAAGCAGACGAACGCTGCAGTGTGGCCATATTAGGAGTGTTACTGTGCCTGTCGCTGGGATTTTGACGCTCGAACTTTACGGATGGTAGTTATCGCTGCAGAGTCTTGGCATTTAAACTGAATTTAACTGCATTTAATCTATAGAAAAATATTCCTTGCCATTTCTTATATCGTGAAAGAGGTTTATTGAATTTAATTATCTCGAACTGAGTGAATTTAACCACCTGTGAAAATATTCCTTCGTCATCTTATTATGTGTGGCAGTGTAGCACTGTAGGCCTACATGTACGAAAACTAGTACGAAAAGCGGAGAGCTAGGAATCTAGATCTATAGTAGATTCTGGCTAGAGGAAGGATTTCATGAGTTTGTAAGTATATATCGTCTTATATGTGATATGATAAAATAATCTTATATGTGAGCATAGCCTAGCTCATATGGATTAGTCAAGTTTTAGTTAAGTTTCAGGATTAAGTTCAAGAGTTGAAGAGACAAATTGTTGATGTTCACGTGCAGTGATCACGCTCAGCTGTCTATGTCTATAAGAATACTGCGCAAGGCCTTACAGGGCATGACGCGCAGCTAGGCAGATAAGGTTTATGTCTCCCTGACCTCTGTTTGACCTGGCTCATTTAGCTATTTCTGACTAATATATATATATATATAATATATAGGGTTAGGGTTAGTCAGAAATATATAGCTAAACGAGCCAGGTCAAACAGAGGTCAGGGAGACATAGAGAGTGATTGACCCTACGGGCCACAGCTAGGGATCGTCTGACCCCCAATGTTCATTAACGAGTTACAACAGAAAACGTACTGTTAGTTTTAAATTAAGGTTATAATTTATGCTTCCAATGGTGGAAGCAGTTATCAAATTGTTTACTGTTTCTGTGAAATATGTTCATGCTGGTGAAGAGACTATAGACTAGTCTATAGTTAAGGAGTTCCATTCTTGAACAGTTCTGGGGAAGTATATTTGTAGGTGTCTACCCGGGTGTATATTTCCATGTACTTTTGATCATGCCCTCTACTAGTATTGCGTGTACTACAGCTGAGAGGGTCTATGTCCCCCGGGGTACTGCCGGAACGTACCCTGGTACTATCTAATATGCCGGACCGTACCTCGCCTACTCCACTAACGAGTCTAGGGAGTCGCCTACGCCTACTCCCTAACCCTAGGCTTAACCCGAATCCTTACCCTAACCATGATCAAATAGTGACCAGGGTACGTTCCGGTATACCGGACCGTTCCGGCAGTACCCTGGGGGACATAGACCCTATGAGCTGTACTACAGGCTTGCAGATAATTAGGAAGGGGTAGTGCAATTTCTCTACTCTTAGCCTTTATTGTTAGCCTTTTAGTTGTTCGTCTGGACTGAAGAGATGGCCAATTCATGTACTGCAGCATCTTAGTTACACTGCTATAAGTACTACAACATTAGTACTATAATCAGATGAGTGAGTGCTACAAACAGGTTTCAATAAACAAGAGCGAATGCCAATCTTCACATGACCATGATAGGTTTTATGAAAGGTTATAAGTTTTGCGTGGTCAAAATCAATCACGAAGAAAGTAATCTATAGAGGCTAGAAGCTAATTACGAGTGAGGTTCATTGTTTAGACCTTTAGAGTCAAACAAGAAGATAACGATGTTTTTGGGCAAAAACAACAAGATGGCAAAAAAATAACGACGACGAAAACAAGTGACGTCACGGTGACCTTCGAAAATCCTCTAATAAATTTTATTTGAAACAAAGAATGGTAACAATGTCACGCGGACAATGTTAGAACAATGTACAAATCCGCGCATGCACAGCGACCGACCCGCTGTGCTGTCCGCGCGCCCCGTACACGACTACTCGGCAAAAGACAGACGCGACTAACCGATAAAGCAATTCTTCGCTTGGGCCGTGGCGCCGAGCGGGACGGTTGTGGGTAAAATGCGGACATCCGTTCGGCGCGCCTGTCCTTCGTCGTTACATTCTAGAAAATAACGCGTAATGTACAAAACATGAGGTAGACAAATGTATGTAATGTTCCCGCAAGACCCTACAGATGGCGCCACGATAGCCGACACAAGACACGGGCCGGCAGACACGCACTCACACACACACACACTCACGCACGCACGCACGCACGCACGCACGCACGCACTCCCACACACGCACGCACGCACGCACGCACACACAAGACTCGTGGATACTCTATAAACAGGTAGTAATAGTAGTAATCGTAACATTAGTAGTAGTAATTGCAGTAATTGTAATGGTAGAAGTAGTAGTAGTAATAGTAATGGTAGAAGTGGTAGCACTAGTAATGATAATACGAGTAGTAGATTTGGTAGTAGTAGCAATAGTAGTAGCAGAGTGGTGACTGCTATAGGAAACACCGAAAGACAGATGTAGATGGAAGCGGAGTTACCGCAACGCACACGTGCAATACAGAAAGATACTGCATAGTTGAGGATGCAGCCTGGCTACGGTATCGTAACCATGGGTTACGGTAACTACGGGTTACAGTAACCATGGCTTATGGAGTCGTAGCTAGTGCCGCCTGACTCCACACATTACACGTGTGTGCATAGCTTGTCGAAAACCGCATGCATAATGGTAGATGGAGGGCTGAAATAAAGGTAAGATGTCTGCGACACATAATATGGTAACAAAAGGGTTACATGTCTGAGCTACCTGTCTATGACGTACGAGGAATAGGTACCTATAGGGATTCATTGTAGACAGGGGGCATCTATGCGTATTGAAACACAGCATAGTGACGTACAAGAACTACTTGTGTGTAACAAGCGATACAAGAATGGTGTATGATAGGCATACGTTTAGTAATCTACAAGGTTACACAGGTTATACTAAGTATTAGGCAAGGTGCGTGTGTGTGTGTCTGTGACGTGAATGCTCGGTTTACAGGGAGGCATGCACAATGTTCGCGGCCCACGAATGATAACTAAGATCTAATGCTTGATCTAGTACTAGTAGCCAACGGCACGAGATTGGTATCAAAGAGGTATTGGTATGAGGTATACATATAAGTCAATGGCACAATGATAGAATCCTAGAGGCACACGTTTGAGGTAAATGTGAGTGGCACTAGACTGGTAGTATCCAAGATATATATGCTTGAAGTAAAAGAATGGCATATCCAATAATGATATTTCTGAGGTAAAAATGGCACAAAGCTGGTTTTAAAAAGGTATATATGCCTGAGATATACAAGGAAGTGATCCTAGAGGTGTGTGTTCATGGCACAATGCTGGCAAACAATAGCTATATGCCTGAAATATATATACAAGCAAATCACGATTATTTCTGAGGTACGAAGTCAATGGAACAAAGTTTATAACAGAGAGGTATAGTCCCGAGAGTCATTTATATATATATATATACGCCTGAGGTACATAAGAATGAGACATAACTTCTCTCCACCCACTCCCCCCACCCTGCACGCGCGCGAGCGAGTGGGTGGGTGGGGGAAGGGGGTAACCGAGGGAAGATCCAGAGATGGGGGCGGTCCAGGAGGGAGCAACACCCCACCCCCACTTTTGCGAACTTTTCCAGCCAAAATTTCTTTTGCTCGAAACGAAAAACAAGTCGATTGAAAGTAGGAAATCCTCAAAACGCCACTCGAAAATCACTCGGATCACAAGCGATAGAAAAAACAAATCTCATCTTCCCCACACTGTCTACTCTCTCTCTCTCTCTCTCTTTCTCCCCCTCCCTACCTCCCTCCCTCCCTCCTCCTGCCTAACATCTGGATCATCCCCCGTCACGGACGCGAGAGAGAATATAGTCAGTCAGCCACACGACAGTCACGTGTCTAACACGTCACGTCATCACCATGAGGTAGATACACCAACAAACACGCGCCGGCCGGTGGCGCCATCTCGCGAGCGTGACGGGAAAAAATGCGTGACCCGTACGACATTAAGAACAACCGCGTCGTCGCGAGCGCCCCCAGGTGGCGAGCGACGACGCACTAGCTCCCCCTGGCGGCGACGCGAGCGACCTAGTCTACACAGTACGACACAAGATGAGGTAATTCATATGAGGTCACGTGGTCACGTCCTTATCCGCACTATTCCGCATGCATGGCACTTTGGCACTTTAGTGCACGTCACACGACAAAGTGCCAACGATTGGTGCATGATGCAAATCAGTGCAACTTGCAAGTTAGTGCCAAGTCAATACTGTTACGATAGTGCGGATGCACACCCGTACATTTGTGAACTTTTACAATAGTGCCTATTTTGCAACGCAGGTAAATTAGTGCTGATGGCACACCCGTACATTAGCGCACTTTATACAATAGTGCATCTTTTTGACACTGGTACAGTAGTGCGGATGACACATCCGTACATAGTACACTTATACAATAGAGCATCCATGGAGACGCTAGTACATCGTGTGTGGATGGAACATCCGAACACTAGTACACACGCAAATACAAGTACAAATAGTGCATCTCACTAGACACTGGTACAATAGTGCGGATGGCACACCCATACAATAGTGCAGATGGCACAACCCGTAGATCAGTGCACACGCAAATACAGGTACAAATAGTGCGTGCACAATACTGTTACAATAATGCATCGCTCGCAACCCTGGCATGTTTGTGCTTGCACAATACTGGTACATTGGTACACTGGTACAGTGCACCGCACAATACTGGCACACTAGTACGCAGGCGAGCACTAAAATACAATATGGCCGCCGCTGCAGCGACTTCTAAAATGTCCGAC